AATATATATTAAATATATATTAAATATATATTAAATATATATTAAATGGAAAATACTTGAGAGCACTGAAATCTATTCTATTGAAAGAACCAAAAAAAAAAAAAAGAAAAATTACTCTTGTAATGGAATAATCATAGAAACTTAGAATCACTTGAGTTGGAAGGGACCCTTAAGGGTCATCTAGGCCAACTTCCCTACAATAAACAAGGTCATCTACAGCTAGATCAGGTTGCTCAGAGCCCTGTCCAGCTTGATCTTGAATGCCTCCAAGGACAGGGCATCCACCACATCTCTGAGCAACCTGTTCCAGCGTGTAAATACCCTTCTCATGAAACTTTCCTTACATCCAATCTAATTCTCTTATTTTAGTTTGAAACCATTTCTCTTTGTCCTGTCACAACAGATCATGATAAAGAGTCTGTTTCCCTCTTTTCTTATAGCTCTCCTTTAGGTACTCAAAGCCTGCTATCAGGTCACCTCAGAGCCTTCTCTTTTCCAGGCTGAACAGCCCCAGTTCTCTCAGCCTGTCCTCACAGGAGAGGTGTTTCATTCCTTGGATCATTTTTGTGGCCCTCCTCTGGTTACAAACCAATTTTTCAAGTCTGCAGTGGAAGTAATGGTTGCTGTGGCTGTTGTTCGTAGCAGGAAACAGGCCAACTCTGCAGTGCTCAACAAGGCACCTTGCCAAGGCCACTTGCCTCTGCTGCATCACTCCCAGAGCAATTTGCTGCACAGTGCAGGAAACGCTCCTACAGTAAGGTACACTTCTGGACTACCAAGTGCCAAGGGACTGCTGAAACAGACAGAAGGAAGAAGAGGTGATTACGTTCCCTACTGTGTGATAGAAGACAATCTTCAAAGTGACTTAAAGATGATTCATAAATATTAAGACTCTTGATACCTTAATATAAGAACTATTTTGTAGATATGAATGCCATCATCATTGATCTAGCTGACTGAATGCTACTCTTACTGCTACACCAAGCACTCAGATACTTATTAACTTTACCCTTCTTTCCTCAGCCTTCTATTACGTATATACTTCACAGAAATCTTACAAATATCCCTATTAATCCATGCTTGTTTTTCAGTGCTATCTAACCCAGTGTGGAAAAAAAAATTCAAAAACTACAATGGTTTGTTACTAGTTTAGACCAAATTAGAAATGAAAGATAGATGTCACTAAACAAAAAACAGATTATGCAATATTAGAGACTTAAGCTACATGGTTGACTAATATTGCAGATTTCAGGTCCACATCAGAAATCCAAATACCTGAATAAGCACACCAGTAACTTTTATATGGTTAAAATAATGTGCCTTCTAAATATTGTTGTTTAAGCATGTATCTTGATCACTTGCTTTTATATTCCCCAAAGAAACATCACAAAGTTCTTGAGAAAAGTTCACACTTTGTTTTATGGTGTAGGACTCTTCAACTAAGCCCAGTATCTTTCCTAGTTAGAAGTTCACAAAAGCACTTTCCTCTCAACTATTGTCCTTCACGGCACAGTATCAAAAAAACATGGTGATTCTAAACAACTACGACAAAGGAACTGTTGTTATTTCAGTTGTCTTAAATTCTGCTAGTTTAGCTATATTCAGGTAGCAAAGAATTTTAGTGAAGATGTTTTATATATTTTTATGAAGGAAAAATGTTACCTAGGCAGTCCTTCATCAGCCATCAGTTCTTAAAATCTGCTTCTCTTCAGATAAGGTATGTCTGTGGAGAACATTTCAGCCAAGTCCCACGAGTGACAAGAGAAAGAGCATTCTACTCAGAAAGAGAAGACAACCACTGAATCAATTTTGTCTCTTTCCCAGTAACATCCATGCTTATTCTCTATAGGTTTCCTCCACTCCAATTCACTCACAGAATCACCAAGGTTGCAAGAGACCTCCAAAATCTAATTCAAACATCCACCTATGACCAGTATTTCCCACTAAACTATGTCCCTCAGTGCATCTAAACATTTCTTGAGTATCTCTAGGGGTGGTGACTCCACCATCTCCCTGGACACTGGTATTCCAGTGCTTGACTACTCTTTTGGAGAATAAATTTTTCCTAATATGCAACTGGAACCTCTCCTGGTGCAACCTGAGGCCATTCCCTCTAGTCCTACCGCTAGTTATGCAGGAGAAAAGGCTGATCATCTTTGTCTATTGAGGCCACCTCACCACAACCTCCATTCAGGTAGTTAGAGCAATAAGCACTCCCCCTGAGCCTTTTCTTCTCCAGACTGAACAATCCCAGTTCTCTCAGCCACTCCTCATAAGACTTGCTCTCCAGACCCCTAACCCGTTTTGTTGCGCTTCTCTGGACACCATCGCCTTGGTGTCTTTCTTGCAGTGATAGGCTCCAAACTGAATACAGTACTCAACATGCAGCCTCATCAGAGCTGAGCACAGGGGGATGATCACTTCCCTGCTCCCACTAGCAACACCATTTTTGATACCATCACCTCAGCCCAGCAATCCAGAGTGTCCAGATCCCTCTGGATGACATTCCTACCCCCAGGCAGATCAATTCTTCCTCCCAGTTTACTGTCATCTGCAAAATTACTGAGGGTACAGGTCATCAACAAGAATATGAAACAGGAAGGCCCAAATACCGACCCTGGTGAGCTCCATTTGTGACTGGGCGCCAGCTGGATTTAACACATTTACCACACACTACTCTTCACAAGCTTTGGTCCTTCTAGATCTGAATTCCTCAAGACTGTGGGTACCACTACGCTAGCAAACAAATATGAATTTTAAAATTACACATTTTAACAGGATTTAAGATGTGTGTCTGAAAATGTCACACTAAATTTGATAAATTGCCTACTACTACTTATTTCAAATTAATACAGGAACTGCTAAACTAGAGTACAAGCAATCTAATTTAATAACCTAGTGTTTTCCTTACAGCAGTAAATAGCAAATGCTTCAAAGGAACACACCAAACAAAAACAAAACAAAATTAAATTGATGCTATCAAATATCCTGCCCATAAGAGAATTTGTGCTTTAAAGCATGCTTTGAATGTTTACTTATATTCACCTAAATATGAGACATTGCCTAAAAGAAGAGACTTGTTCTCTGCTCTGAGCATTAGAGGTAGCAATTCTGTTACTACAAAATGCACAGAGCTATTCCAGCAGAAACCTGTTAATCAGTTGAGCAGAGTTGATAGTGTTTGACTGCACTAGTCCATTCAACTTCCACAAATGCCAGATCCTAAAAGAGTAGAGTATTAGGTCAACCTTTTTTTTTGTGTTAGATGAGTTCATGTAAGGTGTGAAAGGAAGCCCAAAGACGAGCAGCACCACCAAGGCTGAAAGAAACTACTCCATTTAACAGTAGAATTATCATTACACTAGCTTAGAATTTGATTCTTAGGAGACATATTCTGAGCCTGTCTAAATCAAATCAGCTGCAATACCACCCTCTTGTTCTACCCATTCATCTACTTTTGCCCCCTTCCTGCGCATCAGTGCTGTGTATTTGAGTTAGTACCCATTTCAGCAGGTTCAGCCCACCAAATAAAAACATTCATTGTTTTATGCAGCTGGAATTTTCCACTGAGTTCCTGCCCTAGAGATATGGAAAGGAAGTAAGACTGCACAACTTGAGTAAGCTAGCAAGAAGAAGCACTTACTAGGATCACTTTTGAAAGTGTCTATGGCTTTTGTCTTATTTAACTTAAGCTCAATTACACTACCTTTTTGGTAACATTTAAGTGTTTCCTTCTGAACACAAAGGAGAAACTAATTCTACACTTCCTAACTTGCATTTACAATCATTTCTGGATTCCTGCAGTACTGAGGCTGCTAACATGCAGATCTGAAGCTGCATACAGATCTCCAGAAGACTCACAGGGACTCTGGTGTTAAAGGTTCATAATGTATCCAGTAGAACAGGGAGGTGCTAGAGATGCTGGGAAATCTCAGCTTTTATCTGCAGAAGGAACCTGCAGAGCATGCTAGACATGCAATGCTGACCTACTTGGGTATCCAGCCACACAACACTGTAAGGCAGTGACTGAGTCACTACTGCTGTGATTGCTTACTGGATTGAATACCTGGTAAATCTTATTATTTTCTGACATATGCAGATTCTGGAAGAGTCACAGAGTTGCTGAAGTTTTACAGACTTTTGCCTCTGGGCTCCAGTGATATTTACCTCAACAATCTCTACTGCCAAGGCATACGCTACCTAATTAATACAAGTCTTTAGTCTCAGCACATGTCCCACTGTTCTACTAACACTTTGTAAGTTAAGAAGTATATTTACCACAATCCCTCTATGAAGCAAATGATTTCAAGCTTATTAAAGCACTATGCTGAATTTTTGGCCTCTTTATTCATTATCCCAACAATCAGCAAGACTACACAAAAATATCACTGGTGATATTTCATACAAAATACCACATGCTGAAGTTTTAAATAGCAAACTTTCTTTTTCAACTTGTCTTTGCAAAGTTCATATTCTTTTAACAATTAAGAAATTGTCTAGATTCTAAAGGTCCAAATCACAGATCTGAGTATGTAAAAATCTATTACTTCATAGAATCACAGAAACATAGAATGACTTGGGTTGGAAGGGACTCCAAGGATCATCATCAAGTTCCAACCCTCCTAACAAAGGCAGGGCCACCAACCTGCAGATCTGGTACTAGGCCAGGCTGCCCAGGGCCCCATCCAACCTGGTCTTGAGCACCTCCAGGAATAGAGCATCCGCAACCTCTTTGGGCAGCCTGTTCCAGCACCTCACTGATCTCTCAGTAAAGAACTTCTCCATAATATCCAATCTAAACCTTCCCTTTTTTTACCTTAAAACCATTCAGTAAAAAGTTGATTCCTCGTCTGTTTATAATCCCCTTTCAAATACTGGAAAGGGCAATGACATTCCCTTACAGCCTTCTCTTCTCCTGACTGAAAAAACCCAGCTCCCTCAGCCTGTCTTCATAGGGAGATGCTCCAGCCCTCTGATCATCTTCACATCCTTCCTCTGGACCCTCTCCAACAGTTCCACATCTTTCCTGTATTGGGGGCCTCAGACCTTGACAGACCTTGACCCCTCCAGATGGGGCCTCACAAGGGCAGAGTATAGAGGACTTCTTCTGCATGTATTTATTATCCTCTAAGTCCAAGCCCTCTACTGCCAAACTTTTAACATAAATAACAAGAAAACTTAGAGAAAAAGCAGGTATTATCCACTGAAGATACAGGCTCCTCATGAGGTTGTTTGTGTTATATAAACTTTCAAGCAACCTGGATCCCTCAAAAAAGGGATCAAAAAAAGGGTGCAGAATGCATTACCTCCTCAACTTTGTTATAAGGCACCTTTTATTCTAGGCCAAAAGACCAGTTTATTATGAAGAAAATGAAACAAAACATCTGCATGTGTCCTCAAGCAGAAATCTGTATCTATAATTATGGACAAACATTGGGAAAAAGAAAACTGGAAAATTAAGGAGCACAATTTTTCATCTCTCAAGCAGGAAGAAAAAAAAAAAAAAAAAAAAAACCAACTCCACAGTAAGCCAGGCCAGATCAAACATAAGGAAATTTCTATCCACAGTTTTTCTGCATTTTTATCTCACTCCTTTTGAAAAAATTTAGTTACTTACACAGTTTTGAATGAACACTTTGAATGAAAATAATTTCCTTTTTCTGCATTTTCTCTCAAGTCATTTCTTTAATTTTTCCCATTCTTGTACTACATGTTTCTCAGCAACTCCAGCTTGCATACTTTATCTTTTCTTCTTGCAACATTACATGGAAGAGAGCAGAAAGGCCCACAGTTCATGCTTGACATATTTAATTCTCCCAATACAGGCAGAGGACAGGAAATAAAAAACAATACTGAAAAGCTGAAGGATCTACCATGAGTTTTAAAAGACTGCAGCCACATTTCTGGATGACTGCCTTAACAGAACATACTGTCCAATCAACAGCATACTCTAGGCAAAAAAATGTTCAGACTTTCTGACAAGAAGTTTCTCTGATTTGTAGACATCCTGCAGAATTTCAAGTCTCCAATAAAAAAAAATCACAGACATTTCACAGTAATAGATAAATTAACAAAAACAACAACATTCAAAGTAACAAAATGAATGTTTAGTAATGGAAGAATTAAAAATCCCATTTCCTCAAGCATTTCTGTTTTATGCTCGACTGATTCACGTTACAGTACAAATGCTGACCAAAGTTCTTCCCCAAAGCCAATTCAAGATTTCCCTCCTATAAAAATTCCTCAACAAGGAACAAGGCATACAGTAATGTGGCAACCTCTTCTTCAATGCTGAATACCTGCATATTTTCTTCCTACACAGAATCCTAACACAACCTGCAGGAATGTAAGTCCTTCCTCTCTCCCTTGAGTGATATACAGTGAAGAGGAATGGAAAAGGTATGGATGCAAGAACATTGCATTCTCCTTCCTATTGGAAATCCAAACTAAAAAGCTGTAAAAATACAGCATTACACAGTTTGACAATGGCATTATTTTTCTACCTATAACATAAATTTATAAGCTAAAAAAAAAAATCAGATTACTTAAACACTTTTAACACACCTTGATGTTTTGCTTTTCATTTTTAATTACCTCAGAAGAAACAAGCTAATAGTAAAATAGATGTGTTATAATTAAGCTTAAAACTGTAAGTCGAAATAATGGTTCAAATTATTCTGAGGCACATACTGTCTATTTCAGTGTCCTTTTCTAAATACACACCCGCAAAGTAGCAATGCTTGGTTATATCAAATTACTACTTTCAGTTCCCTAACAATTTGTACTGTCCACTGAAAATCCCTTTTATTTCAAATGTGACTGGTAAGTTGGAGCCAGAACATAAACCAAAGAAAAAAAGTTACCTAAACCTCTTAAAGTATGATCAATGAAATTAAAAGTATCCACACAAAAATAAAACTCAGTAATTTTGTCTCAGTTTGAAAACTTTATAGTCCTTATCCAGGAATTAATCAGCTAAAGCAAACCTTTTCTCTGTTCTAAAAAGGAAAGGCAAATGCACTTCTACAGCAAACAGGCAAAGTTAATATATTTGACTATCACAATTAATGCTGAAGAATATGGTATCCTGTGTATCTGCATTACTTAGATAACATAAAGGTAGCCTGGCACACACAGAATTCATTATCAAAAAGTACACGTTCCATATTAAATCTTTTTGTAAGCACCCGTTCAGCACATTCCCAGCCTTAGCTTATCCTCACCAAGATTTCCATCCTCGACTGTCAGCACCACTTCATCCATCAGCAAGGCCCGGAAATCCAGCTCTTCTTCACAGCACTTGGCCTTCAACGCTCTCAGGATCTCCTGCTGAGGGTAATCTTCTCTGATGCGACGGTCTGTTAAGAACCACAATCTGGGAGCAACTGAACTGCACATCTTGGACTTTCTTGCAACCTTCAAGGTTTCTTTTCAATGGAACTTCTAGATGGTGGAGAAGATGAGACGGTTAGAGTACACAGGTTCCTATTCCCCATGTTCCCCACTGTCCTGAGTTCTATTGTTTTTGTACAAGTCAGTCCTTTTCAAAAGACTCACAACCTCCAAGTGGGAAAAAATGTCTATGCCTAATCTGTAATTGAAGTAACAACAGAAATAAATCCATTTACATTCAGTGCTACTTACTAAATGCTAACCTCAGCTCCTACCCTAGTTTCATCCACAGTAAATACACATTTTGACAATTACTGGTAGCAGCAGTACCATTCTTCTTTCCTGACAGTACTGAGGCATGAAAACATTTTGAATAGCCATCTTTGAAGGCAAGAATTCCACCTTTTAGAGTAATTCCTTACAACTGTAAATAGCTCAGTGCTTCCCTAAGTACCATTAAAACACCTGTGGCAGAACTGATACATCCTTTCACAGTATACAGAAGACATATTACACCAAATCTTTATAATAGGAAAATATCCCAGACAAAAGTGCATTAAAACAGTAACTTCCACGGTATTATTTCAAGATGGATTCACTCTTACAAATATTTCACAGCTACTGAGAAATACATTTGATATTAGCCAGAATATTACTGGAGAGCCAATGGAACAAGGAGCATCAATATAATTATAAGAATATTAAACACTAATATACATACCCAAAAGCAAAATTAAAGATTGTATCTACAAAAGGGAAAACAACCTTTACAAATAAACAGCACTTACAAATATACAAAGCATGCTTCAAATTAGAGAACTTCAATTACGTTAGAAATGATAAACTGCACGGTGGCGTGTCCCTTGATTTGAATCAAGGATTTGTGTTGCTTTTTTTTAATTATATTTGAAAATATTTTAAGAGCTGTAAAACAACTAAAGGTATATTAACGGACCCAAAAAAAACCCAAATGTTTGCATTAAGCAAGGAAACAAGCAACAAAACAACAACCAGGAAGCAGCATGGCATAGAGAAAAAGAATTCTGGAGAAAACCAGAGCTGTTTTCTGCCACACATTTTAAATCTTCCTGTTAAATGAAGAGAGAAAAAACACTTTTTTCACCAATACGATTTACCTGATTTTTAAACAGAATTGAACTGTGAGACCAAAACAGGCAATTTCCTGGTAGTCCTAATGACAGGACATGGTATCAGAAGATACAAGCACAGACAAGACCTCAGGTATACAACTATCTTCACTTAGTATTTCAAAGAATTTCTAGTAGGTATTTTTTCTGGTGTTCACACATGAAGCTTCTGCAGCAGGTATTGAGGCAAAAGGGTCATTTCTACAATCACAAGAACAGATTCATTTTTAAATTCAAAAATACATTCTTTTTCTCTACTAGCAAACCTATTTCTTAAACAACAATGAAGAAAAAAAAAAAAGTTTTAAGTGGTCACTTTTATTCCTAGTACCAAGAATCACAATGGCATAAAGCAATCTCTGCATACCCCACAACTAGTTTTCCACAGCTTTGCTGAACTAGAAACAAAAATAAAGCCAAGGAAAAAAAAAGCTCTTCCTACTAATAGACTGAAAGAAAGCAGAAGCTAGACAAAAGCAATCACAAATGCAGACCAGCCCTCGAGAGCAAGCAAGATGCTCAAATGACAGCAGGATAAGGAGTATTTGGTCTTCCCAAGGAAAAGAGCACAAGGGGGAATAGTCTGTAAAGCATATCTTTTGTATCACAGTTGTTTGGTATGTTTTTTCCTTCAAAGCAGCTGAAAGTGAAAAAGGCAAGATGGGTCTTGGGCTAGCAGCAGGAGATAACTGACAGATCTTGCCTCATTTTTTGGCTTTCTAAATATGGTAGTTCACAGAAAACTTTCTGGCACTACTACATCGTCAGGTAAGAATTTGGACAAGATATATTTTTCAAAAACTGCACCATTACTAAACAGTTCAGAAGGTTTCTACCCTTATTTCATTTTTGCATCAACAACTGGCAAGACAAAACAGCACAACCTACCATCTCTGTTTTGAAAAGCAGCAGTATCTAGCAGGATAGCACAACTCATCATGAAAAAAATCTACAGAACAGAGAGAACATAAAAAACACACTAGATAGACTTTCTGATCATTTAAAAAAAAAAAAAAAAAAAAAAAAAAAACCACAACCAGAAGCCATAACAGATCATCAAGTCTATTGGTCGGCATGTTTTTTCCCCTTTCCCTTTTTCCTCTTGGTACTGATACTAAAATTGCTAAGTGTTTTCTCACCCACAATGTTCTCCCCATTTTCACTTGCTATTAAGCCTTGATTTCTTTGCCAACACAGACCTCCTCTCATTTTTCTTAAGTCTCTCTTATACGTGGCCACATCTGTATGTCCTAAAATCTACACAGACAGCGCCATCACCTCTCTCTGGCTACCATTTCAATGCCTTCTTTTTTTTTAAAAAAAAAAAAAAAAACACGCAGAAGGGTTAGAAAAAAAAATGAGAGAGGGTCAAAAGCGTGGAGGTGGGTGGGGGAAATGGAGAGCGGGAGAAAGAGGCAAAATGGGAGAGGGGGAGGGTGATGGAAGGCCGGGAAAACTAGGGGGGAGAGGGTGAAGAGGTAAGAGCAGAAAGTGTGAAGGAAGGGCGTGGGGGAAAAAGAGAGGGAAAGGAGGGCAGAAAAGGAAGGATGGATGAGACTGCGGGAGATAAAGAAAAATGGGGGGGGAAGGAAAGGATGGAGAGAGGGAGGGGGGACAGAGGAAAACAAAGGAAGGTGAGGAAAGGGAGAAGGGAGAGGAAAGAGGGAGGGGAAAAGGGAGAGGAAAGCAGAGGGGTAAAGGAGGGAGGGAGCAAGGGAGGGAGAGGGGAAAATCAGGAAGACAGCAAGGGTGGGAGAGGAGAAATCAGGGAGGGGAAAACAAAGGGAGAGGAAAACTGAGAGGGATGGAAGAAGAGGGAGGGAGGGAGAGAGGAAAATGGAGGGAAGGAAGGAGGGAAATAAATGAATAAGGGAAGGAAGCTGGGGAGGAGAAAGGGGAGGCGAGACTAGAAATCAAGGAATGTGTAGGGTGGGTGAGAAAGGAATATGGTGACAGCAGGCAAGAATGGGAAACAGAGGGCAGACAGGAGGGAAAGAGAAAAAAAGAGGTGGTAGGGGGAGAGAGAGAAAGGAAAAATGAGAGTGGGAAGGAGAGGAAAAGAGGAAAAAAAGAGAAGGAGGTAGAGAGGAAGGAAATTGGGGGTGCGGGAGGGAGACTGGGGAGGAAAAAGGGAGGAAGGCTGGACAAGAGCAAAAAACATGGAAGGTGGGAGGGAGGGTGGATGAGAGTGGAAAACAGGGAGAGCGGGAGGGAGAGGTAAAAAGGAGAAGGCAGACAGGAGGGAGAGAAGAAAAAAGGAGAAGGCAGGTGGGCGAGCAAAAAGGGGGGGGCGGGTGAAAGCAAGGGAGGAAAAAAAAGGAGAGCTGGAGGGAGGAAGGAGAACATGGAGAGAGGGATGGAGAAAAAAAGGGGATAGTGGGAGGGAGGGGAACAAGGAGAGGGAGGAAAAGCTCAACGGCAAAAAAAAATGAGGGCAGGAGGAAGAGAAAAAACATGAGGGAGCGAGAGAAAGGAACAGCAGGAGCAAGGGAGAAGGAGGGAGAGGAATGGAGGGAGCAAGGGAGAGTGAGACAAGAAACATGAGGGAGCAAGGAAGAGAGACAAAACACGAGGGGGGGAGGGAGGGAGAGAGAGATGGCAAGGGAAAGTGGGTGAGGAAAGGAGGGGGCAAGGGAGGGAGAGAGAAAGAGAGAAACTACAAGGGAGGGAAGTAACAACACAGAGGAAGCAAGGGCAAATGGGGGAAAGGGAGAAAGTGAGTGAGGGAAGACAGAACCAAGGGAATGAGGAAGCAAGGGAGAAAGAAGCCACGAGGGAGAGAGCTCAAGGAATAGCAGGAGTGAGGGCGGGAGGGTAAGGAAAGGTGGGAATGAAACAAAAAGCAGCATATGCCTTTCTTTCCTACAAGTATTTTTTTGAAGAGCTACAGCATCAGGAAGACTTATCCAGGTATCTTAACTATCCTGTTAAAACAAGCAAGCCAATCCAAAATGCCTTGATTTGTATTTACCGCTCTCCTAACACTTCATCTCACTTCTTGTGAATCTTATGAAGTTTAATAAATGTACATATTAAGTCACCTATTTCATCATAAGGCAGGTAGGAAGCAACCTTAAGCCTGCAGATAAAGACTAAGAAATTCACTTTAAAGCGAGCTATAAGACTAGTCAAAGCAGAAACAAGTAATCCTAACTTTAGAATCCTCTTAACCAACACCAATTTTTTTCCACTAGGATAAATATCCTCATCTGTGGATCCAGGATAAATATCCTCATCTTACCTCACCTCTGTGCTCCTATAAATGGTCTCTATCTACCAATTTCAGCCTGTCCTTATAATCTCTACTTTGAATTCATAGCAGTCTCATGGAACACAAAATCTTCAGTGTACACTACTGGGTTAAACCTCCTAAAAATCCCTCCCACATTTTTTAAGAAAATGGTCTGTAAGAAGAAAGCTGGCCTTATAGTCAGATGCACAACAGCATTATGCTCTTGATCTGGATGTGGTCTCCACTATTTTTTCCACGAAAACCAACTTCACCTACCTCAATCTAAAAGCCACAGCCTGATACAACGTTGGGTGCGCATGAAATATTTTCTAATCCATGCGAACATCAATTGCAAAGTAAGCATAGTACATGTAAAGGGAAGAGCAGATGTTTAAATGTCTTCTACAAGATGAACAGTTCAAATGCTTTTATCTTCCAGTAACTAACAAATTTAGAAAATGAAAAGCAACAAGAAAAAAATAGACTTAACTGCATAAAACAGATTATAAATAAAACAGCGGCATCTAAGTTCTACAATAGAAAGCAAACTGCATCTAAGACTAGCCAAGCAGTCACTGCTGCTTCTGCTTCAGAGAGATGCTGAGTGGAACAGATTCTTAGCAATTTATGAAGAGAATTGATGGAACCTCCACTTCGAGCTGCAGTATTGCTGCATTGCTTAAGCGAAGTTCATTCTGGCATTCACACAGCAGTTTCTTCTTTTACCCACCATATGCAAACGCATTTCCTCCTGCATTCCTTGAATCTGTAATATACCTTTTGCAGCTGTTGTGACAAAAGCAGTCACCGTGCTTCTTTTCTACTTTGCATCATAGCAGAATATATCATACTGACATAGTAAGGAATTCATCCAATCATATCAGCAGTCCAAACAGAGCTGGAAAACTGAAAACCACCCTTTTTCCCTTGAAGGAGTCACTTCTTCACACAGACATACTTAAGACCTGTCTCCAGGAATTAGAGGTTTGGTCTCTCTGTTCCATTTAGTCCTTGTGCTACCTTCAACACCAAAAAGCTGAAGGAAAAAAAAAATGTACTAGTTTCTTTTTGATTGTGACATTTTTTTCCCCAAAGGTAAAACAAGGAACCAATTGTCAGGATACACTAATTCATTTATGCATTATTGATAAATGTGTGATGTTCAAGGTATCTAGTTAAACAAGAAGATTGTTCTATGTCCTTTCTATTCAAAACACAAATACTCAATACATTTCTATATTAATAAACTTTGGTTGTTCCTTCGCCATGGGAATTACAAATGTTTTGTATCATTAGAAATCAATGCTATTTAGTACTATCTATCTGAACTACTTAACTTGTTATCTGATGTAGCTCTCTCCCATTGCACACAGTGATCTGGGAAACAAGTTATTGGAACAATTATTATCACCACCACCTCCCAGAATCACCTCTTTTTTAGTCCTTGTCTGAAACTCTAGGCTTCAGCTACAGCATAACACTGTTCAGCTAACAAATTATGGGTTTCAGCAGTTAGAAAGGTAAAACCTAATCTTAGATTTAGCATACCATTAGGCACACCTAATTCCTATATTTTAGATCATAATAAAAATCTTAAAGAAGTTGAGAAGAGCAAAAAGTGACATTCATGACTGCCATGGGAAATAGAGAAAAAGGAAAAAATTAACTCCAAGCACTCATCTCACCACAAACAACAGTGCAGTCTCACATTTATCGTTAATGCACGCACCTCATTGCTTTTTTGTTGGTTTTTTTTTCCCCCCCCACAGAATGGTATTATTTGAGTTGGAAAAGGGAATTTTGCTTTACTTTTTATCATGAATAAGCTAAGAATTGAAACTGTGCACATACTTTCAATAAACCAATTTTCTCTACCATTACAGCAGTTTCTAGAATGCTGTTTAGAAGGCTACACCTGAAGATGATGAAGGCATTAGAACATTCAATTGATACTCCTAAGTTACATTAATGGTGGTACCTCAACGTACAATTACAATGAAGAAGTTAGATACATCTATGACTATTTTGAAAGTAATGCCTCTTATTTTATTAGGTTGGCCCACAGTATCAGAGGCAGACGGCGGTGGTATGGCAGTAGAGGCTGAATTTTCCCTCAAATATTCCATTATATTTTGTTGCTGTGCAACAGATGGCAACTGAGGGACAGTCTGTCAAAATGACATCTGACATGGAAACACGTATGAAGCAAAGGTATGTCACTGAATTCTTCCTTGTGGAAAAAATTACACACACACACACTCCTTGCTTGCTGAATGTTTCTGGAGACCAAAGAGTGGATGCCAGCACAGTGAGGCACGGGGCAATGTGCTTCAGCAGTCGTGACAGCAGGCAACCTCCACTGGTGCAGATTTTTACCAGTGCTACATGCAGGCTCCTGTTCATTGCTGCTGAAAATGCAGCTAATTGTGGTGTAGAAAAAGTGTTTTGTAGCTAAGAATTTTCTCTATCAAATAATGTTATTGTGCTCTTTGTATCTGTTGGAGTTTCCGTGGAAATAAATAGGAGGCATTACTTTCGGAGTGAGCTTTACAGATCAGTTAATTAGTTAACTAAGGACTGTATGATGGGTCATATGCTGCACATGTGTCATAAACATCTATCTCACTGTAGTGAGGAGAATAGAGCATATAGGGATAGCAGGTTCACATCTCTTTCAAGCATAAAGAACAATTAATTCTGTTCCCCACAGAGACACCAGAATAACAATTATCTAAAATATCTAAACACTTTAGGAAGAAATATTTATGGTTGAATATAGAGAGATGACTAACATCTTAAACCACTTCTAAAATTGCTTTGTAAAAATAAACCCAATGTAAATCAATTCATTCCTGACACTGCTCCTCCATGGTGATGCTTAAGGACAACCTCAAGAAAAAATCTTGTTTTGCCTACCAGAGACTAGTTTTCATAAAAATGCCACATAATTGTTTGAGCATCTTTGGAGAGAACCGATTTTTAAAAGTGAAAAATCTGAAAAGTTAGCATATTTTTTTAAATGCATTTTACATACAATATTGAGCAGCTGCAGTACAACTCACCAAGCCCTGATGCATTATCATCCACCCTCTGAACATGCCCTAGAATTTAAAGTCACTGCAAGCAGGTAAATCCCAAACACACCCCCCTGAAAGCACAGCTTAATATTCACCTCCCTTCCCGTGCCAGATTTGTAGACTGCAAGAGTCATGGGATACGGAAATGTATTAATCACTCTCACTCTTTTTCAGTACAATCCCCCACTCCCCGTGACTGGCAAATGCAGTCCTTATGGTGGCGCTCACCTGCTCTTCCCTACCTTTGCACTGAGTAATGTTAAAGATGCTAGCATAGCAATCCTTCTAGGCACAACTGCCTATAAAATGTGGGCATCCACACCACCAGCCTTTCCCCACATACGTTCAAGCATGCAAGTAGGTGGTAACATTCTTCATTCACACACCCCAGTGTCCTAATCTCCAAGGAATAATCTGCCCTCTTCCCTCCATACTACACAGGGCAACATCAGCTGGTCAACAGTGGTCAAGAACAGCTCTCTCTCCACTTCAACCTTAGTTGTTTGCTTTTTTTGTCTACAACAGGCTCACAGATTTTTCACCGCCCTCCACTGTGTGCACACATCCATGCAAATAAAACATTTCCTCCCACATCAGCTGTTTTTCTGAAAGAGAGGTTCTTCCATCTCTGTCCAGGTTCCTCCGCAGTGTGGTACTGCACACTCTGCTCCTCCTGATCTGTGTATGCACGCCTGTTCGCCCTCCTCCCTTCCCCCACCCTACTCTCAGTCTGTGCATGCTTCTCCTAGTGCCTGTGGTGGGGGAAGGGAGACATGCACTGCATCAATGAATGGACTGAAAAGACTTACCCGAAATTGGGTGAGGAACGAGCAGCAGACAAAAAAAGATGCCAAAAGATAAGCGGGTGCTTCCTTCAGTGTGCCAAGTGCTGCTTCAGTCTTGGGTCCTTTAACGAGGTCACGTGTCTCCGTAAGCACCCCTTTTCCTGAATCCACTATTACTCAAAAAGGGAGGGCAAGGAAGCCTCCTGGATGCCTCTCTACACTGCACTCCAAATATACAAATAAAGCTCCCTCAGCAAGCAACGAATAACGTTCTCCTGGTACTATAACAGGCAACGTCTAGCCTATCCCTTAAGGAATAAGGTAGATTTCTGTGGGATGAATGGACCTAAATTCCCAAGCTGTACTCCCCTATGGAAGAAGAAGGATAGGAAAGAGGAAAAAGAATACTGGTGGAAAGTAGTAGTTCTGTATGTAATTCCTTGCGTCTCAACTTTCTCAGGACTATATCTTAAATTAGTCTGAAGACACAGACACCTAGGAAAGAAAGAGAAAGATCCCTATTAGACATAAACATACAAAGACATACAGTAAACAAATTTCAAAGGAAGAGAAGGCATTATGCAAGGAAACAAGCAGAACCAAAAGAAAAAGATCTGATTAACCACTTAGGCAAAATGTGCAACTTCAAACAATTTCCACAAATACAATATCACACACACCCATTTTAATGGGGAAGGAAAAAAAAATTAATAAACTTAAGCAGTTTGTTAACTTACTGAGGAACGTGTAGTTAAATCTGGATCTACACATAAAACATGAACAATTGTTTTAAAATCTAAGAAACACATTCATATTTATTTGTGGGAATCTTTAAACACCACCCCCCAGAAGACCATTTAGAATTCAAATATGAAGACTGCAGAAAAGTACATTACAGAGCAGAAGAATAATCCTGTTTAATAAGCTGTTTAAATTCCTGAAATAAAGCATAACAGTTGCACGCTTTTAAGATGGATATCCTGGTAGATCCTAAGCCGTCAAACCACCAACATAAAATTAGTTCTTTAAACGTAAGAGGAAAAGAAAAAGAAAACATTAAAAAAAAAAAAGAGAAGAAACGTAGTTGTAAAGATTTCATTTTAAGTCGCAACGACAGACACACACTCCCACCTAAATCACGTGAAAAGCTGTCCCCAACAGACGCAGGTTTTCGCATTCGGGCACACGGGAGCGATTTTTGCCCCACCTCAGTGGCTGCTTTATACACACCAGCGCGTGTGTGCACGCACAAGACGTGCAAGAGAAGGGCGTGCAAGCATGGAGAGGAAGGCAAGACGCGAGCAGACCTACCCCAACACGTACATGCGGAGCACGATCCGACCACAGAAAGCGCGATGTACGGGACCCGCGCCGCCTTACAGCTGGGGAAGCAGGAGGTGCAACCACCCACCTCGCACAGAAAGACCCTGCCGTGAAGCCACCGAGCCGGTGCCTCGGCTGGCCTGCCCGCAACGGGCGCGGTTGGAAGGCGCGGGCAGATCGAAGCGCTGCCTGCTTCGGCGCCCCAGGATGCACAATCACCACAGGCACTGCGCTGCGCGAGGCGGCGGGCGGAACGATCCCAACCCCCCCAGACACAGAGGACCCCACCCCCGGGCTCACATCCGCTCAGCCCGACATCTCACCCACCCCGTGTACTGCAGAGCCCGGGCTCACGCGGCCCGCGCGCCCCGCCGACGCCCGCTTCAGCGCCGCCCGCAGGGCCGAACAGAGGCCTGGGCAGGCGGCGGCTCGATGAGGGCTGCAGAGAGACTCGCCCCTTCCTCCCCCTCCTCGCGGACAGCAGTCACTCAGAGGAGCGGTCCTAAAGGGGAGTGGGCTCAGCCTCCGCCTTCTCCCTCCTCGGCCTCCCTCCTCCCCGCGGCTGGGGAGAGAGGATGGCCCGGACCGGCTATCCCCCGCACCTCCGCCCCCGCGGTCGCCGCTTCAGCCAAAGAGCGGGCGCCAGCGCCTCCCGCGCTCTCTCCCGCCGCCCGACTGACGGATAAATTGAAGCGGCGGCGGCGCTAACGGCCGCGTACGGCCGGGACGAGCGCAGAGAAGGGTGAGGCGGGGCGCCGCGAGGAGGCGGGCGAGGCAGGAACGCAGGCCGCGCGCTCCCGCCGATCGCCACGCGCGCACCCCACAGGCGCAACGGCCGCCACTGCGGTTGCCGCACCCGCACGGCGGAGCCGTCGCCCCGCCCCGCCGACGGCCACGCCTGTGGCGATTCGCACCGCCCCCCGGCTTCCGCGGCCCGGCGACGACCACCTCCGGCAAGCGGCTTCCCCTTCGATACGCTTACGTCTACCCCGGGCCAGAAATGCGGTCTAAGCGCGCTCGCAGCGTTGCAGCCCAGACCAGAGACAAAAAGGGCTCCGGCAGTAGTGGCGCGGCTCTGCTCAGCCTCTCCCGCAGCTATGTGAGGTACTTCTAGCCAGGCTACTGCGTTCCACGGCTCCAGCTGCTTGCTCCCAGGGCGGACGTGCCAGTTGTACCCTGGCACTGCGGGGTACTGCAGGTTAAGCAGCGAACGTCAGGTGGTATGACAAAACGTATGATAACTATCGTGCTTTTCGCGGCTGCTGCTTCACGTGGTACCTAGAGCCAAAACCTTTGTCCTTCGTATGGCAGATAAGCGTGTGACATATCCCACACGCTACTTGCCATACATCATTATGTTTGACATAACCAGTATGCCACCTGGGCTGCATCATCCCATATTGCTATCATTTGTCTAAAATAATAACTACTGGCAACAAATTAGTATGACACATTCAGTGTGTTAACCAACACCATGTTTATCAGTTTCTGTAGCACACCTACTCAACTTTCCCCATACCACACTACAAGACACATATTAGCACATATTAGGTATGTTTCATGGTAATGGCACGCTGCTCCAAAAATCCATGCCGGTCACACTTTGGTACCTGATGCATACCTGATGCATCAGTGACACTTTCCTATCTCTGGAAGCTGCTGAGTGCAGCCCCTTACCCCCATCAGGGTCAGCCAGAGCTGACTGTCACGCCAGTTGCGTTTAAGCATCTCCAAGAATGAATGCTCCACAATTTCTAGGATTTGACCACCCTCACATTAAAAATAATTTAAAAAAAAAAAAAAACTTTTAAATGGAGTTTCTTGTATTTCAGTTTGTGCACAATGAATAGACTGCTCAGTAAGTACCACTGAACAGTCTGCTTTCACCTTCACTCCGTCCCTTCATGTATTCACTCGTCCCCTGAGCCTCCTTCTCCAGTTTTGCAGAATCTGTATGTATGAGATGCTCCAAGTTCTTATCCACCATATCTTAAGAGGACCCTTTGCTGGACCTGTTGATTATGTCCACGTCTCTCATACTGAGGATCCGAAGATGCAGCATCACTAGGCTTCAACACAAAATCAAGACATATTCAACTTAATGTCCTGATCTTATCCTGTAGGAAATTCTTACTCATCTAACTTATTAATCTTTGGATAAAACACACAACATCTGTGTCTAAGGAAAACAGCATATATATACATATATTGCTGAACACTGTGTTACACTCTCAACTTTTCAAATACGGGACATACCTACTTGGTCAAATGTGATGGTCCCTAACACTCATTCCAATAATCTAGCAAGTAAACAACCTGCTCTCATCTGCCTTCCAAGAATTAACCCTAACCACCTTAATTTCACCAACTGAAAGGCAGACACTTACATACTCCATGTTTCCCCAGTGTAATTTGTTTGCACTTGATGCATCCAGAACTGTTTCAGACAGGCTGTAAAACCTGCAGTTGCAGAACAAAGATGTGCCATCCAAATCTCTTATGCAGTGCCCTCTATATTTAACTGACACAGTGGGATTGATTTCCACAGTACTGATGTATACATCCCTATTAGAGAATGTCCTAAAATCTGATACAATGCTCATTCAGTCATATTGCAGAATGATGTACCATAATATCATGCATTTCTGTTTTGTTACACCTGCTGCAGTGTTACAGCTGATACTTAAAACTCATCAACACAAACACCACTGAGCATTTTTAAGACTATGTTTACTTTCGTTCATTTTGCTCTGCAAACATGCTAGTTCTAGTCCCCGAACTTCAGGCATGATTCAGGCAGCTATTCTGAAAACTTTTTGCCTAGTAAGTAAGCTATGGAAAAGGCTACATCATGGAGGACAGTGGTGGTCAGCATCCCCATTTACTCAGAACATCACCAGAAGCACTGCCTTCCTCTATACTTAAGTGCCTTGCCAATATTTTTGGTTCCTTAATAGTTTCTGCAAGCCAGAGATCACTTCTGGATTCCAGGTTCCCATCTGCCTGACTCTGCACAGGAAGAACACACTACTGCTCATTTAAATGCCAAAGAAAACTTTGAGAAGGAGGCAATTGTAGGCAACTCCTCCTGGGATAAATCAAACACAAAAATGCTGGACAGTTGTTTTGTTTTTTTTACTTTTATATTAGCAAAACAACATATTCTTTGGCAGAATAACTGAATTCTAGGCTTTGCGGATTAGAGTTCACACATACTTCAAGTTCACATTTTCAAAAGCTCCAGTTTCATGTTGTGAGGTGCAAAGGTTTGTCTACACAAAGAATTTACTAACAGAAATCTACTGTGGTATTACTACTATACTGAAAATATGTGTAACCAAGACACATTTAGCAGGCAGAATAAGAATTCTTCTATATTAATGTTTGCTGTTTTAAAAACAATATAAAGCAAGAAAAGAATGTGCACATTAGGATTTACATAGCTATAACTATGGTGATGTACAGCAGACACATAGCAGATTTTTTTTCTTTCATATTCCCTTAAGCAGACAAGCTTTAAGGCAGGTGCCTCTGCATCCCAGATATAATTAGCAGCTCATAGAAAGAACTGCACAGCTGGGAAATTCTGTAATGTAGATTTTAGAACATAGAAATATGTATTTGGTTATAACACATCTTAAAGAAAGGTGTTCCACAAGTACATGAAAGACACTCAGCTTGCTCATACTAAAACATATCTCAAACTGTTCAGATATTTCATATGGATCTAAGGATTATTAGCAAGAATTTATTTCACCAACTAACATTTACCTTCTCAGCTCTCCTGCACGCAAAATGCAGTCATTGATTACCTTTACTATTTTTTGTTGAGCTGCTGAAGTTCTAGTACTTGGAACGCAGGCACAAACTTTTGAGTTTGATGGAGTCAATTGAAAAAGGAGATTGGTTAACACCTCTCTAGAATAATTTCCCATCATCTAGAATCTTAAGTCATTCTAGAGGGAGTCCTCAAATTCTTTTGCTATTTTTTTCAAGCACAAAACAGATGAAAGCACCAATTTACTGTTCAGAATATTCTCACCAAAGAAATGCCCACTGGTGCAGAAGTTTTTGAGATATTTCTTCTAAACAATTGTTACTGCAGCTGAGTTGTAGGTAGAATTTTTTTTTTTTTTTCCAATGAACATGAGGTCCCTAATTACCCACAAATCTGTTCTTAGGACAAAGTTCTCACTGTTTGATAGCGGAAGGAAAACATCTGCTTGTGCCCTCAATGTCAATGGACCAGAAGACTGCCTAGTTTTACCCTACACAAACTAAACTGTATTATCAGCAAAGAATGGATGCCTCCACACACTAAGCATTGCTGACGCCCTTCTTTTGAGATTTTTCCCATGCTGTCTGAAATGGAGGACTAGTACAAAGCCTTAATGTATGCAAAATCTGATTTTACTGTTGATTCCATGAAACATATTTTGTCATTGGGTTTACTGAAAATGCAAAACAGCTGTTTAGTTCTGAAGCCAAAGTCTGCAGGGCATAATTCCCCTACTGACATCAGAAAGTTCCATATACTGTCTCTAAGTGCATGAGATTGTGATGAGAAAAATGGTAAAAAAAAAAAAAATCTAGCGCGAAAAATTTGCAAAACCTTATTATTTACATCAATTTGCTGCATGTCACCAGTGTCTGCACCGGCTACAAATTTGGCCAAATCTTGCACCGATGTTTCTGCTTCCCACTTGGATGGCTAATAAATAAATAAAAAATATAAGGCAAGGTAAAAATGCCTTTGTTCACACATGAGTGCTTGGGTTCATATGTGGACTCAGATGCTCCCGTGGAGGGAAACAATTTTTGGATTGTCTTTCAATGAGAAAATAGCTATATCATTCTTGTTTTACACCAGGTCAGATAAGAACTATACAAAATAATGCAAAATGATCTTGAATTTCACAAAACCACAGCTTCTCTTTGGTTCCAACTGTGTTATATTAGTTCTTGCTCTGAATAAGCTACTGTATGACAGCAGAAACAGAGATTGCAGCCGGGGGAGCAGATTCACAGTGAG